AAGCAGCACAGTTGCTCTTGAGTTCTGGCCCTCGTCATCATCTTCGATTCGGATTTTGCAGCATGAGCAACACCTCAAATGTTATCCGCATCAGGAGTTTGCGTTTTAATTGTATTCCAAAGCGCAATTACAGGACTTGGCAAAGTGCCAAGAGCGCTGCGCGCGACACGCGGACGGCTGTTAGTATAAACAGGATCGGGAGTCTGCGCCGCAAGTTGCATTTTAGGCGGAGCATGGAGGAATTAGCGTGTCCACGGTCCTGGATCTCCATTCCTGCGCATGGGGAAACCGCTACGCTTCGACAGCTGGGGGGCTGATAAGTCACGCTTACCCAAACTAGATCGGACTATGTGTTTTTAACAGCCTTATTCGATCGAATAACAGCCGCGTGACAGCTGTTCTAGTCAGTAGAGGGCAGCTTAGAGGCAAACGCCGTTTTATTCAAATGAAACGTCCACATATTTGTACGAGATGATCGAATTTTTCTGAGTTCAAAAGATGCAGAACATCATCGTCAACGTAGTATATACATATTGAAAGAGTGTAAAAAAAATTCGAGGGCGCACGGAACGATGGCAAGATGACGGTTATGGCGGTTATGACGCTTATGCTATGAACTTCGAGGCGCTACTTGACAAAAAAAAACAACCGGAAAATCCGTCAGGAAGGCCCGAAAAAGACCCTAAACCCTTCATATACGGGTATGGGTCGTACCAGGGAGATCATTGTTAGGTATTTTCTAAGAGTAAACAACTTAGAAATGTGCCTTTAATGTTGATTAATTAATTTGATGGCGGTAAATACCAAGTCTGGTACTTACCTTGCAGGGTCTCTCACTTCCACTAGCTAAGGCTTGTATATGAGGAGAGACGGACGTGTTCACGTGACGGAAAACAAAGTGTCGAAAACTCCCGCGAATTATGGCAGCTAAAAGAAATGGCGCAGGGTCGCGAGATGAACTCGGGAATTAGGAGGCCGGATGCTGGGACGAGATCTGAAACCTTCTTACTTTTCCACTCTTTCGCGTCATTCCCAATGCCCTTCTGCTGGTGAGATTGGCGTGACTTCATACCAAGACCAAAGCAAGGCTGATCGTGCACCCTGCCTTTGAAGCTTGGTCATTTCTAGCGCTGTTGGTCAAGTGTACATTTACTGCACATAGAGGAATAGGCTTGATTCGAAATAACCGTTACAGCTGAAGTTCACCGCAAATAGGAAAAAATGTGATAAAATCTTGAAAAAAGTCCGCATTAGACCACCGCACACCTTTCATACTCTTCAGTTTCTCCTGAAGCTTTCGAATTGCCTCTTCACGTTGCTCCGTAATGTTCAATGTCTGGTCCTTTGCTTCACATGGCACGGGCTCCTGAAATTTTCAAATACTCGTTGTATCTTTGACAGTTCGACGCCTGCCACCTTACGTTGGTGAAATATTACAATATTGGCAAACGAACCACACTCAGTTTCTGCTTTTTTGCACTCAGTAGTGGAGTAGACTGGATAGTAGGCCGCTTCTTTGATTTTACGGCAGAGACATTTTCGACCTCCTCATCGGTGCTGTCGTCATCGGTAGAAACTCGTTCCCTAAGTTTAGTAGTAGAAAACATCAAATAATTTGTGAAACGGAACCTATACAGTAAGTTTTCAAAGTTATCCTGAACAAGAGATAAAAATTTAAGACCATTTTAATGCCAAGTACCGCGCTTGACTGGAGAATCTGCGAAAAAGAATGCATACGTATTGTTTGGAGACAGGGAGATGCAGAGAATCCGTGAAAGTAATCAGATTGAAATCGACTGTTCGGCTCTGGGATTCCGAAAAGGAAGATCTGCCAAAAGAGATCAAATACGAATCGATGTTGCGAACTACGCTCAAGCCGGGAATCGGCAAAATCGATTCGTGTGTAACCCTTTTTGTCAATTTCTCGATGGCAGCTATCAATTTGATGGAAGCCTTCATAACTTACTTAGCCATGGATTCCATTCCTGCGACAGAATTTTCGTTTCTGCCAGTTTTCTCAATTATTTTGATAGCCGACTTCGGCCGCATCTGAACCTGGAAAATCTGGTGAAAAAAAGATGAATAAGCGAACTGAAGTGCACCAAAACATAAAGATGGCAAGGTAAGGGAAGGAATGGTACGAGGGAAAAATCCTTGTGAAACAAAACTAACATTTTCTTTCTGATTTTTGTTTTCCTTTCGGCTTTCCGTAATCTCTGACTTGGACGGAGCTGGCGTAGGAGTTGCCTGAAAGATACCGCAATGAACCAAGGAACTTGGAAATTGAATTATCGCTTATTCTGCCTTGCAATGTGGAGAACCTGCGATTTGAAAGATAATGCACTTCCGGGGACTCAATGAGAAAGATGGAATACGTGCCGATCCGAGAAATTTGCAATTTTAGAAGATAATTGAGTTAGGAAAAAGGACTACAAAGGATTAGAAGGGGGTCGCACTCCGATTACTTGCAATGGTGCATTTGTCCAATCCGTGAAATCTCCTGAAATGTTGGTGCGCAGAGTCAATCGATTCCATCTAGTACTAAGCCATGCATTCTCCCTACTCACGCAATCTCTGGATAACTGATTCCCTAGATCGATACATGATTCTTTCCTTTGTGAACTTTCTACTGAAGAGCACTTTAACTGATAACTGATTACCTAGATCGATACATGATCTTTCCCTTGTGAACTTTCTATTGAACTATTCCTACCCCAGTCTTCCGAAATCAGGCCGGATTTTTACCGACTTTTTTCTACGAGGGCAGATTTGGCTGAAAATTTGCTTATAGGGTAGTTCGACCTCCTGAACACGAATATCACATCCGCTTGGGTCAAATCCACCTGTCGCAGGCGCTGGCGCCAAAACACCCTACATCACCATTCGCCGAAAACTTGTCCCCAGGGGTAGTTTGACCTTCTGAACACGAATATGACATCCGCTCGGGCCAAAACTACCTGGCGCCCGCGTCGCAGGCGCCGGCGCCAAAGCCTAAATCACCAAA